ATAACAGAAACTCAAGTTGTGCGATGCTTTAAGTGCATGCTAGCTTCATTTAATATATGCAGCACTAGTATGTTGTGAGGAGGATAAGATACTTGTAAAAAAAAAGAAAAACACACAAACTGACCAGCCGGTGACCTTATGTGTACATTAAGGGTCTAGATTAAAGTAATATTATGAATTGAATGCTGACTGTTTATATGGATGGATGGAGCACACACTCTTTTCTCTTATTTGAGCTATTTTATGCAGTTAGCCTTAATGCAGAAAAGAGGAAGTTTTGTAGTTTGTAGTAGAAATACTTTAGCAACACTGAGCTGATTTAGTATGAAATGCCTTATTGTTGCATTTTATTTATTTTGCAAATCAGTGTTTGGACCAAATATATTTTTCAGAGATTTCCAAAAACATGGTTTCTGTTATTTATTCATTTTAGCTTTGTACAATTACAGTATGTCCATAATAGTTGTACTTTAAATGGTATTTTTTAGAGCTGTTTTAACACCTTAACATGTTGTTACATTAAGACACGTTGTTACATTGTGTTCACATAATGCATGTAATGTGCATTCCTACGTACAATAAAAAAACATTTTTCTTATAATTTGGGAGAAACAGAAATTGAGTCAACATTTACATGTACATGAAATTTGTATACAGTTTCAGTCAACATTTTGGACTTATATTGTTTGTCCACATTTCTGAATAATAGTTCAGAATTAACCCTAAGTCATAAAAAAACGATAAAATCGCACAAATAAAAGTATATCTATTTTGTTTGTTTTTTCGTTAATATGATGTGTACATTATAAACTGTAAAATAATTTATTATATTATTTATTATTATATTATTCATATTTTTGTATGCCTTTGTTATTAATATTTTAATATAAAAATGTTATAATAAAATATCTTTTTTTATGTGTTAATCATTTAAAATTAAATGGTTATTTATTTATATAGCTCATGATAAGCTACTATTTTTATTGTAACTGATAAACTTCGAAAGAATTGAGGTCGCTGTAGTTTAGCCGGGGCCTCCGCACATGAAGAGAGGTCAAGGACAGGATCCACCTAGTCCTTTCCAGGAGCTGTGATTTTGCTGACAAACTCTTTCCTGTTTCACTGACAAAAAGATGTACTCTTAACAATGGGGAGCGTGCAGGGGAAAAAAAAGCTAATCGCCCTGCAAACTGCTGACGAATTCTTGTGGTTGTAGGAGTAGCTGGAACACGGAGTTCAGAGCGTCACATTCTCCTCAAGGCTTTTCATACTGTGCTGGGTTACGGTCACTTTTAACCCTCGGTTAAGTACGTTAGCAGCTTCCAGAGCAATATTAGCCCTGTATAAGCCAATCATAAATGAAATATACAAAGAAAACAGAGGGTCAATATTCATACATTTAAAAGTGAAAAGTACAAAATAAGCCTCATTTGGAACCAGTTTAAATTTTGAACCAGTTGTCTGATTCATTTACCAAATTTCAGCTTTTTGGAATAGCATACTATCATACTACTAATATTTTTGTAGTGTATGTGCACTTTCTGGCATCACATAGTCAGATGACCTACTACACTCTAAAAAATGCTGGGTTGTTGTTTCAACCCATCGTTGGGTCACTTATGGACTAACCCAGCTGTTGGGTTAAATTTTTTAATTAAAGTTTTAACCCAAAAGTTGGGTTAGTCCATATTTGACCCAAGGTTGGGTTGTAACAACCCAGCATTTTTTAGAGTGTACATTTGACAAAAGGTGTTGTATACAAAAGAGCATGTGAGCAAAAGGATCCCATAATGCAGTGTGCTTGGCCCGACCTTCCATTTCCAAATATGATGAATGAACCATAATATCAGCCATGATTTTTACCACTTTTTTTGTGTACTCTTATTTGATTGGACTGCCAAGAATTAAGACAAATGTTTCATTAAAACTGGAGGCCACTCACTGAATTAAACCCAACCGCAAGGTCACCTGTTTGACGTTAATGTAGCATATGAATGTTTGAAATATTAGTCGATGCTTTATGTTTGTTAGAAATACTACTATGCAGTACTAGTATGCAGTATGCAGTGTACAGTGCATATTATTCAGTAAGCTTGTATTTAATTCTGAACAGCCATATATACACAGAAACATATTTATACATTTGTAAATACATACGTAATTACCCTTTGAAATGATTTGTTTAATATATAATTCACACAGTAATTTGTTCTATTCATATTTCATGAATTATGCCCTTTGTTATTGACAGATTGCTATAAATTTGTCATTTTCAACTCGGGTCGTGCGGTACTGCTAAGAGGATGTTCAAACAGAAATGTCTAAACACTGAAGCCAACCCAACCACAACATTTCAAATATTTGTTCTTTAGAGCCAAAAGCTTTGAGGCAGAAATGGAAGTCTTAAAATCAGATTAGATTATGGATCAGTTTGTAGTGTGTGTACTTCTGAAGCAGTTGCTGAAATGTTCGGCGGGGGATGCCAGGGGTGTTGTGAGGGGGGTTTGATGTACGGCTGGCTTCCTACATCTCTCTTGCTCTGCCTGCCACTCACTGCCCCTCGACCCACGAAACCATTTCCTGCTATTGTCCTGCTGGGGCCTGTGTTTTTTCAGCGTATCAGGCACAAACCAGCGAGATATTTTTTTTCCTTTTAGACTTTCAGAACTGTGAAAAGATTCTCTGAAAAAAAAAACATACAGGGGCCCCAGGGCCCCAACAGCTCAGGGCCAAATAGATACAGATTTAACTCTTATGGTGTTCAGATCAAAGCTGTCAATCCACACACATCTAAATAACTCACAGTTAAGCTGTGGTGAAGCAATTGGACACAAAAAATCATAATTAAAATATTTATTTTTCATTTTATAATGTATGTATTTATTTATTTGAGGGAGGGCCTTCTGTAAGCACCTGAATAATTCATAATCATCATTAAAAGGCACCCTTTGTTAATCAAATTGGACTGAGCAAATTTAGACACTTGAACTACCAGTTTATTTTATTTATTTTGTAATGTATTTTAATTTAATTAATGGATTTATTTATTGCTTTATTATTGCATTCAAACACCATTTGCTTTAGGGGCACTATTAAAATTCCATATTGTAGTATTGCTAATATTGGTTCTTAATTATTAATTATTAATTGCTTGTTTTTGCCTACATTGCATGTAGATTAAATGAATATGCTAATAAGTACATGTAAACTCTAATACATCTAATATCTACTTTGTTTAAAAATAGAACAAGAGATGGTTTTGTTTAAAACAGTGAATGTCACTCCAAACAAATTAGCAGACCTCACCCAACCTTTCCCAAAGTTGCATGTAAAGTTGCATATTACATATCACTGCGGCCGAATTCATAATGCTTTTAGAAACCAATAAGAGTATTATGTGCCTGCTCATTAGTCCAGATTTGCTGTGCTTTGGGTAACGTGTAACATATACACCCTGGGGCTTGTTCTAATCCTTATTTTGTTGTTGCACCACACCCTCGTGAAACCACTTTAATTCTATCTTGGCTCCATGCGTTGTTTAGACCAATACTTGGAGAAAAACAAACATTCTCTCCGGTTATATGGATGATACTATCTGCAATCAAGAGATTCTTGGAGTCCTTCCTGTTGGATTCAACCCCCTCCTGTCCTGTGAGGATGTCCTGTCAGTGTGACGGTGGAGCAACCAGGCGTGTGAGAGGGAGAGGGAAGAGCTTATTTTGCCCCACAGCCCAATGTATGGCTAGATCCCACTCAACGTTCCAGTTGAGCAAAGTCTCCGGTGATATTTCTCCAGGACTGCTTCTACCGAGGGGTCAACCCTGAGAGCCTCATCTTCGGTAACCACATAGCAAGGTATGTCTCCTAACCCTTTGTCATGTGGGCAATAAGAACTATTTAATTAGCATTAATGTAGTTGCTGGGGTAATATTGACTTGAATTTTCAAATTGGGGAACAAAAACCTAGTAATATATTTGGTGCCTAAAGAGCAGGGCTGGGCAACTCTGGCCCTCAAGGTCTACTCTCAAAACTTGCTGAGGAACGGGCGAAACAGACGGATTTTAGGGGAAATGCCTCGCATGTAATCCGCTAACAGCAGAGGTGGACAACTCTGGCCCTCAAGGTCCACTTTCCAGCAGAGTTTAGCTGCAATCTTAATTAAACCTGAAAAATCTAAAGCAAAGTCTTTAGGATCATTTGAAGAATTTCAGGTAGGTATGTTTAGAGTTGGAGCTAAATTCTGCAGAGGAGTTGTCCACTTTTAGAGGATTTTGTATCGGACATTTTTTGGCCTTTCTCAGCTCAGCAAGTACTTATTTACTTGTACAATAGCTCAAGGTACACTCTTAAAAATAAAGGTGCTTTAAAAGGTTCTTCACAGCAGTGCCATAGAAGAATCATTTTTGTTTCTACAAAGCACCATTCAGTCAAAGGTTCTTTAAAGAACCATCTCTTTCTTACCTTTTTATAATCTGAAGGACCATCTTTCACCACAAAGAACCTTTTGTGAAACAGAAAGGTTCTTCAGATGTTAAAGGTTCTGTATGAAACCATTTAGACAAAAGGTTCTTCTATCTATGGCATTGTGAAGCACCTTTATTTTTAATAGTATACTTGTGGGTTGTTTTAACAGAACACTGGTTGCTTTGTTTGATTCAGCCCCAAAATATGATAAGCACAATAATGTTGTGAAACTTCCCTTCATACTGGGAATAATGGCTGACTGAAATCTGTCCTCTCACTGTGTTAAACACCATTTCATCTGCTGCTTGTCCTAAAGCAGGGGTTCTCAACTCTGGCCCTCAAGAGCCACTGCTCAAACTCACCTGCTTGTAATTTTCTAGCGCAAAGTTGCATGTAAAGTTGCATATTACATATCACTGCGGCCGAATTCATAATGCTTTTAGAAACCAATAAGAGTATTATGTGCCTGCTCATTAGTCCAGATTTGCTGTGCTTTGGGTAACGTGTAACATATACACCCTGGGGCTTGTTCTAATCCTTATTTTGTTGTTGCACCACACCCTCGTGAAACCACTTTAATTCTATCTTGGCTCCATGCGTTGTTTAGACCAATACTTGGAGAAAAACAAACATTCTCTCCGGTTATATGGATGATACTATCTGCAATCAAGAGATTCTTGGAGTCCTTCCTGTTGGATTCAACCCCCTCCTGTCCTGTGAGGATGTCCTGTCAGTGTGACGGTGGAGCAACCAGGCGTGTGAGAGGGAGAGGGAAGAGCTTATTTTGCCCCACAGCCCAATGTATGGCTAGATCCCACTCAACGTTCCAGTTGAGCAAAGTCTCCGGTGATATTTCTCCAGGACTGCTTCTACCGAGGGGTCAACCCTGAGAGCCTCATCTTCGGTAACCACATAGCAAGGTATGTCTCCTAACCCTTTGTCATGTGGGCAATAAGAACTATTTAATTAGCATTAATGTAGTTGCTGGGGTAATATTGACTTGAATTTTCAAATTGGGGAACAAAAACCTAGTAATATATTTGGTGCCTAAAGAGCAGGGCTGGGCAACTCTGGCCCTCAAGGTCTACTCTCAAAACTTGCTGAGGAACGGGCGAAACAGACGGATTTTAGGGGAAATGCCTCGCATGTAATCCGCTAACAGCAGAGGTGGACAACTCTGGCCCTCAAGGTCCACTTTCCAGCAGAGTTTAGCTGCAATCTTAATTAAACCTGAAAAATCTAAAGCAAAGTCTTTAGGATCATTTGAAGAATTTCAGGTAGGTATGTTTAGAGTTGGAGCTAAATTCTGCAGAGGAGTTGTCCACTTTTAGAGGATTTTGTATCGGACATTTTTTGGCCTTTCTCAGCTCAGCAAGTACTTATTTACTTGTACAATAGCTCAAGGTACACTCTTAAAAATAAAGGTGCTTTAAAAGGTTCTTCACAGCAGTGCCATAGAAGAATCATTTTTGTTTCTACAAAGCACCATTCAGTCAAAGGTTCTTTAAAGAACCATCTCTTTCTTACCTTTTTATAATCTGAAGGACCATCTTTCACCACAAAGAACCTTTTGTGAAACAGAAAGGTTCTTCAGATGTTAAAGGTTCTGTATGAAACCATTTAGACAAAAGGTTCTTCTATCTATGGCATTGTGAAGCACCTTTATTTTTAAGAGTAATCCTTGTAAACAGCATTTTAACAAACTCTTCTGTCTTTTCCGTCTGTAGAACAATGACGTATGATCTACATAACTCCTCGTATGACTTCTACAATGGCACGCCATGGTTTGTCTACGACTGCACCATCCACCTAGACGAGGATAGCCGACGGATCGCTCTTTTCCTCCTTTACCTAGTGCTCTTCATGGTAGGGTTGGCCGAAAACACCCTGGTGGTGTGGGTGAACTGGCGAAGGCGGCATTCGGCGAATGGCGTGCTGTTCTGCATCATCAACGTGAGCTTGTCCGACTTGATGGTGATCTTCACCATGCCCTTCTTCATGCTGGAGGTGACCATGGACAAGGTTTGGCTGTGGGGCCGCTTCCTCTGCAAGGTCACGCACCTTGTATACATCATAAACTTCTACAGTAGCTCATTCTTCCTGGCCTTCATGACCTTGGAGCGATACCTGTCCCTGACACAGCCCAACAAGCCCGCCTGCTTCCCAGCGCAGCACAAACGCCGCTGGTTTCTCTGCGCCGGGATCTGGCTCCTGTCGCTCGTTCTGGCCTTGCTAGAAAATGTCCACGTTGACTTGTTAGAGTGGGATGAACCGGGCTGCTATATGGTTCCCGAGCAGTACTACACAGAGTGGTTTGTATCGGTTTCCTTCCTCTGTCTGATATTCCAGTTCCTGGGTCCGGCGTCCGTCATCATCACTTGCAATGTCCTGATCGCTCGTGCCGTCCGCACAACCCCGGACGTCCAGAATCGTCGGGATGTGTGGCTGGTGCATGTGTACTCGCTGGTCTTTGTGGCCTGCTGGCTACCGTACCATTTGGTTTTGTTCTTGTTGACAGTGGACGACCTGGACCCACACCTGTTCTCCTGCAACATGGTCGGGGTGCTGTACTTCTCTTTTAGCCTTGTGCAATGCTTGTCACTTTTTCACTGCATTGCCAACCCAATCCTCTACAACTTCCTCAGTAAGAGCTTCCGCAACAATCTAATAAACACAGTGATCAGCCGCATCTCTTTACAGCCGACCAGTGCGCCAAGTAATGCTGTAACCGACAAGACAGGGACAACAGCGGTAAAAGAGCGGAAGCTCAGTAACACCAGCACGAGTCACTCCGACATTGGCGTGTGAAGAGGGAAACTCCTAAATGACGATTTGGTGAAACACAGCACGTGAATGAGCTACGAAAGAAGTGGCCTTGTTGAGGCGGATGTTTTTTGGTCACTTGCCTGGTATAACTAGCCATAATGTCTCCTGTTTTTCTCACCTCAGTATTGTTAACAGTGCAAGGAAGGAAATATTGTCAACCTTTCGTAACCTTTATTTCCACCGGTTCCTATTGTCACATCTTGGAACTCCTAGATAAGTAATAAAAGCTCTGTCCACATGCCAGCGTTTGTACAAAGACTGTTTTGATTGTTCTGCTCAACAAAAACTTTCACTTAGCTCTCCATATGCTCAATCACAACACCTAGAGCTGTTTTAATGGCTTTTAAGCTCAGCAGCTTGCTTGTATATATTGTCATGGTTGTGATGTCATGAAAAAAATTGAATAAAATTAGCTTTAAAGAAGTATTTTAAACATGTTTGTGCAAAAGGGGCAAAATTGTGTATGCCATTTCTTATGAGAATGTGCAGCTCCGATGTCTAAAAAAATATTTTCCATTTGTAGAAGTTTGCTGAATCTAAATACACCGTATTTAACATTGATAAGTGGTGGGGGGTTGTGTTCAAATTATGTGTTCACTGTTAAAAAGACAAGACTCCGACAAGTTTTGTAAGTACTGTTTTTATTCAGAACACAAGTACAGCTGTAGTAAAAGAGAACAGATTTCTGATAGTGACATTGAACAACAATAAATCATATAAATAACACTGAAGTGATATAAGGCAATTGTTTCATGTTGAAAATAAAATGTAGTATGACATCTCATATTCAACATCAGAGTCGAGAGTCAAGATATTTATGGTTTATAATCACAACATCAGCTGCAAACCTTGGCAAATCGCCGAATGTGCATTTTTTTCCCTAAAAATAAAACTGATTGATTGATAAAGGTGATAAATAGTTGATAAAACCAGGCAGTTTATAAGGTTCAGCCGGTATTTTCTGTGCTACATTGCAAATAAAGCTATAACAACCACAATGTCCCAGCAGTTTTGAATACATACTTTGTGGGTTGACGACATCAATTATGAATGGACCGGTGTGCCAAATCGGTTTTGAATTGAACAAAAAATTATTTAAATGTACAATGTAAAATTGTCCCGTATAAGAAAGAACACGCATATAACTGCTGGGAAAATGGTACAGAAGAACATCACAGCTTTCTAAAGAGAATTGTCATTTATTCATGACAATACCATTCGCACGAAACACTCTTGATATGTCCCAAGTGAAGAAGGTGAACACTGAACATATGAACCGACTGATATATTAGCACCTCAGTCTGAATAGCTTCAACGACATATGAAGAGTGTTGCTTTATGTACAACATCCAAACTATATTACACTGCATCTCATAAACCAGTAACTATTTCTAATTTAGTCTATGTCAATGATACACAACACTACTATAAAAATAACGGCTATTCTGTAAAAGAAAAGTAGCCTACCTTAATTTATTTATTTTAAAGAACCATTTTATATATATTCTTGATCTAGAGTACTGCTTTATTTATCAGAAAACGTAGAAAAAGTATTGGTTTATTCTCAACGTGCACTTGCGTTGTGTAAGGACAAAGGTTACTTTGTGCTTCTCTAGAATTGCCAGAGACCTGTAGCTTATTGTGATAAATTGCCGGAAGAGTATATAGAGGTAATCGCAGATCAGCAGCCCGTTAAAAGTGGACTGAATTTCACACTTGACTGAATTTGTTTGCTGTGATCTTAAATCTTTTGATCTAAATGCTTATATTTAAAATGGTTGAAACTGGCTTTGAAGACAAATATAACTTGAATCTGTGCAAGAATTCTTTACAAAACAACATTTTTCTTTTAAATAAATGATAGTGACTGAAAAGCAGCCAAAAAGTGTAAACTTCATTAATGGTGTTCAAACACTGTGTCATGACGTTCTTGGCAAAGGTTTGAAGAAGCTACAATATTAGATGTTTTGTTATTTCGTAGCTTTGATGACTTTATTATTATTCTAAAATGTAAAAAAAAAAAATGGAAACAATGAGTAGGCGTGTCCAAAGATTTGATTGGCAATGCAACCTTGCTCAGTCTCGCTTGCCATCAAGTGGTCAAGTATCAGAACTACATTTCTAAAATAAAGTTTTACCTTTAGTCTTTAAAAAAAACAAGAACCGTTCTCATTCTGTACACAAACGACACAATGACGATCACATTAAACACTTAATTACATTCTAAGTCTGCTTGTCCTCAACAACATACGGAGTACAGTCATCGCCAAAAGTTTTGGCAGTGACATACATTTTGTGTTTTGCCAAGTTTGCTGCTTCAGTATTTGTAGATTATTTTTCCACATGTTTATGGTATACTGAAAAACAATGATGAGCATATCATAAGTTTTAAAGGCTTTTATTGGCAAAAAATATATATAATGAGTCAATATTTACAGTGTTGACCCTTGTTCTTCATAACCTCTGCAATTCGCTGGATATTAGCTTCTGCGCCAAATCCTGCCTGATGTTGATCCATTCTTGCCTTATTAGTTCTCGGAGTTGATCACAATTTGTGGGCTTCTGTTAGTCCACTCGCCTTTTGAGGACTGACCACAGGTTCTCTGTGGGATTGAGATCCATGGTGTTGCCTGGCCACAGATCCAAAATTTCAATGTAATGATCTTCGAGCCACTTCTTCATCACTCTTGCTTTGTGACATGGTGCTCCATCATGCTGGAAAATGCACGGATCATCACCAAATTGCTCATGGATCGCTGGAAGAAGTCGCTCTTGCAGGATGTTTTGATACCATTTTTTATTCATGGCAGTGTTTTTGGGCAGAATTATGAGAGAGCCCACTCCCTTGGTTGAAAAGCAACCCCACACATGGATGACCTCAGGATGCTTCACTGTTGGCACAACACAGGACTCATGGTAGC